TTATTGCCTCTAGAGAGAAATGTGTCCTCTGCATTTGACCCACCCTTCAATGCCACCGGGGGGCGCTGTCAGAGCAGGACCTGGGGACCCGTCTGCAGATGTGACGGCTTTTGGATAGCGCTGAAACTGGAGGATTTTACACGATGGCGCATGTTTTAGGAAGTGGGGAAAACCGGAGCGCACGGAGGAAACCCAGACACACAGGAATACAAAAAAATACCAACAAATCATCATAAATTCATGTTAATTCAGTGTATTTGTGGATGTTTTTATAGTGCAAAATCACAGCAGCAGTCATTAGTCGTTGATTACTTAACAATATATCAGAGAATCCAACCGTTAAAACACAGGATATGCAGTAATAACCCATTTTTTAACCATAAAGAACATTTTTAGTTGAGTTTTAAACCATTTTACAACATTGTTTCTCAATGTATTTGTGTATAGCCCTTAAAAATCACAACAGCAGTTGCCTCGGAGGACCGTGCACAGTTGTCGATTCACCAACAACAGATCAGAGAATCACATTTTTTGAACTCATGAAACGCAGTGATAATAATAAACACATTTGAGCCGAAGCAGGATGACCACTGTAAAAAATGTACAGCCACTTGCTAAAAGTTCTACGCAAAATTCTGGCTCTACGCATTAAAATATCTTTGTCCATTGCCTTTAGTGCTGTACAGTTAAACTTCACCATCTGCAGAGGATCAGTGAGGGGCTGGTGCTATGTGACATCACTGATTGCCACCCCCCCCGGACCCAGAAATGGATTAAGGGGAAGAAAATGAATGGATGTACGGAAGTTACGACTCTAAGTACTGTCTATGTTAGCTCTAAATGAACAGCCACTTGCTAACAATGCCATGAGAACAATGCGACTCAACCCCATATATGCTTTTCTATACACTGAGCACGACTGCACCGATATCTCGTCAAAACCTCCCGTCTCCCCCGTCTCCCCCCTCTCCCCTGTCGCCTCCTCTCCATCTCCCTGCCTCCTCTATCTTCTCCTCTGCTCCTTGGCTTTAATTGCGGGGCTGTTCCGGCCACCGTCACCGCATCGCTGGCAGGCTCCCGGGCTCCAACATCCATCCTCAGCGTGTAGGACTTCCACGCTCCAGTGCACACGACTGCTGCTGCTGCTGCTGCTGCAATCACGCTTATAGCTCTGCGCTGGGAGAGAGAAAACCCCCCTTCTTTCACAACACTATACATTCTCAGCGTTTGGCTTTGTTCTCCTGTGTGTGTGTTGGTTCTGAAGCGGTCTTTAACGACAACGCATCCCATTGAGTTCCACTGATTCCAGCCTTAATTAGTCATGTTCCAGTGCGGACACGCCGTAAACGCAGATGTGGAGCTTATATGGTTCGGGTCAACAGTTCACTGCGTTTTTAGTCTGATTATTGTGAGGTTTTATGTTGTGAGTTTGTGGTCATTTTGTTGGAAAACACAACAGCGACGGCGGATCGATAACACGCAGACGTTTACGTACGGTTCCCGCGCAGCACACTCCATACGTCTCTGAATAAATGCATTTTTATTGGCGTTGGAATGGCTCCTTCGGTCACTTATGTCGGTAAAGTCCCTCGTGATTGGTTAATGTGTTCTCTGGGGGGAGGGGGAGGGGCTGTTTTATATACGTTGTGGTCAAAACTACACTATACATACAAGGAAAGCACAGTTCTTACACAAGGCAACTCAAAATGCGGAGAGATTTTAGACGAGATCTTTGGAAGTTTTAATCTCAGTTCAAAGTTTTTTTCAGACAATATGAAGACACAGAAAGCATTTATTTATGACAACACGCGTCACAACCAAAGATTCCAATCCACAGGTATTCGCTCGTCCAACGGAGACATAACTGAAGTCGTCTTAACGTCCCGATCACTCGAATATATGTCCATTTTGCGGAGGCCAGATTCCACTGCACTGAGTCAAACATTAACATAGATGGAACCACAACATAAAATACTATTGTACATAACAGAGTATTTATGTATTGTGTATTTGGTTGGGACAGTACTTGTTCATGAACACATCACTCCGGACTGTAGCGTTGGGATCATCCGTGGTCCCACAGTCGCACTCACAAACACACACTCATTCACACTGAACTAGTGCACATGTTTTTAGTGGTAGGGGAAACCGGAGCACCTGGAGGAAACCTACACAGACACGGGGAGAACATGCAAACTCCACTCAGAAAGGCCCTGTTCCGACTGGGATTCGAACCCGGGACCTGCTTGCTGAGAGGCGAGAGAGCTAACCGTTAGATTGTTTAACTTAATTCTTTCTACATTATTTTGCTAAAGCTGCAGATGTTAAACTTACCTCTGAATCCGAAAAGTATTAAATTAACATAGAGTGCACTAAAACAACTCCGGGTCTGTTTTCATGAGTTAGCAACGCCGCTACACGGTTCAGAACAATCTCACACGCTAGTTAATCACGTTAGCTTGTTTCTTGTGTTCTCATCACCTCCGCTCTCCGCAAACACAGCGTGGTCCGGGCGTTCTCTGATCCACGCTCGCGACGGCGGAAATAGCAGCGACATTAATCAGCTGCGCGCTTTGACAAATATGGCGTTTCTTGTTTTTCGGCTTTGTTGTTAGATTTGGCATTGTTCTGCGGCCTCCTCCTCCTCTTCTTCCTCGCATTCTCTCCATACCTAGCTTGGCTCCCAGAGTGGCGCTCTTGTTTCCTTTGGCTCATCCGTTAAGTGGGAGATAAACCTCAGTTAGCCCAGTGGAAGTCTCTTCACCGGGGGACAATGTTATCGGAGAAGCAGCAACCCAGAAAAGCTACTATACGTGCGCGCGCGTGTGTGTGTGTGTGTGTGTGTTGGTATGTGTATGTTTATGAGTACACTGCAAACATTGAATATCAAATAACGCCAAAAATAGTTTGAATTCAAGACAATATTACACATTCACTGTTTGTAACTGGGATATTTGCGTATGCTAGCTAATACGTCGTGTGTGTGGGGACATTCCAGGCTTGTTGGATTAAAGCTGGGGTTCCTAACTTTCAAAGCACAACAATGCTAACTGTGTCCTGACATGTTTGCTAGGTCCTCGCTCTCAAAACAGTCTGGTTCTATCGCTAGTTTATCACCGTTTTTTTAGTCAGAAAAGTGAAAAAGAGAAGACCAATCTCACTCAGCCAATCAGCTCTCAGCCCAAAGAGACAAGAAGTGACTCTCAGGGTTCTTACTTACAAGCATACAAACGATAACATGTTTTTTGGACTGAATATGGACTTTCATTACTCCGTTTTTGATCAATAATGAGATTTAAACGGTGCTAAATATATAAAAGTAAGCCACAAGTTTAACCTGTAGAACTGTTGGTGATACACTTGCAATATATAGTTCAAAGCTTATGGGAGAAGAAGTCTGACTTTTTTGGATTCATACAATACTAAATAATCCAAATTTGGTCACGGTGCTTTCTGGTGCTACTGTTATTGTTCCTTTCCAAAAATAGCAAAGATACTTTTCTCTAAACATTTGCTTTCTGGGTTCTGTGCTCCATGGCCAACTGAAGAAACCACCCAGAAACGACCATAGTACGTCCCCTTTAACTCCAGCTTCCTCCACATACACGCGTTTATGTTTATTACTCCCCCCCCACTAAATGAACTTTGGAGCAGGCGCCGTAAAAGACGCTCTAAACCAGCAAATCTCCTTTTAATCACATTTTGTTCCTCACTGCACCTCACAAGTTTCATTGTTTTTTGGGGCCTGGGTAATAAAAGGAAAGCGCTCTATGACGGGCCTGTCCACTGGCTCAAATGGCCGAGCCTTTTAATTTAAAACAGTTAAGGGGAGAAGCCTGGTGTGCGAGGCCATAAAACGTCCCCCTCCAGCCGATCGCCATGTAAATGCGACAAAACGCTAGAGCGGTCGCAAATTTGCCGTTAAAATAAGAGGGGAAAAGAGAAGAGAGAGAAAAGGGGAAAAACAGTGGGAGTTGATAGGTTTGCTGACTGATGGCGCAACAATTCTGCTGGCAAAGCTTGAAAGAGGGAACGATGTAAGCCCATTAGCCACGGATGACCAGCGCTACGGCGAGAGAGCGGGGGGGAAGTGGTGGGCCGCCCGCCGCATTAGGTAAAATGGAGAGGAAATGACCGGAGACTTCTTACGACGAAACCACAGCCACCGCAAAAGCTCATACCTTACTCACACACACACACACACACACATATATACACACACACATTTACACATATATACACACACACACACACTCACACACACACACATATATACACACAAACACACGCACATACAAATACACACACACACACACACATATATACACACACACATTTACACACACACACACATACACACACACACACATATACACACACACATACAAATACACACACACATACACACGTGCGCACACACACATACACACACTCTCTGTAAAAACATAGAAATTGGCTGGTTTAAATGAGTTAAGTTACTGTTACTTTTGTAAATTTTGAGTTTGAAGCTTGACTTTACATTAATTAACTTTGTTCATAATTATCTCAAAGTTTCTCACTTTTTTCCCACTGTTTTTTGCAACATTTATCCGCCATGTCCTACTAATTCAATGGAGACCAAGACCAAGACTGGTCCTAGCTAATCTGAAAAGTTGAATGGATTAAAAAAATTGCAACCTCAGCTTTAAATCTAAACATATAAAGCTTCTACATTTATGAAAAAGACGCCAAACGCCACCGACCACAACGCAACAAACGTTCAAACCATTCCATCCTTTGGACCAAATTCAATATTGACCACGGTTGGGGATCGGCTAAAAGCAGCAAGGCAACATTTATCCGCCGTGTCCAACTAATTCTATCGAGTGCAGAGAAGCTATAGGTCAATATTCAGAAGGGTCCATTCCATCGGGGACCCGTGCGGCGGCGAGATCACGGGGAAGGCTGGATCTGCGGTAGCCCAGACAGAGCAATTAGAGGCGGCGTGGAGGGGGTATCGCATGCGGCGCTCTCCCAGGCTCCTCATCACCACACGGGGGGCAGTGACGCACGATCGATGCCTGCACCTCCAGGTCTGTGGGGAGGGGGCGGCTGGAGGGGGTTCTCTGATTGGGGCCTGGATCGATGAAGCAAAAAGGTAAATCTGCAGAGACGGAGCTGCGTTCTCAGGGCTGCGCTGACAGGGCCGTATACGATGTTATGGTTTAAGACAGAGGTGTCAAACTTTTGGTTGAGGGCCGGATAAAACATGAAAGGGCGGGTCAAGGGCCGGAAGAATAAGTGGGTTTCATTTATTATATGTTTTTAAAATATGAAGGTTTCTATATAAATGACTTGTTTCACATTAGTTAGATTAGACATGGTTAAGTTCTTGTGACTGAACCAAAACTGGACAAAAAATAAAGGTATATGGGAAGATTTTCTACTTCCGGGTGGATCATCAAGACTATTGGTCCTCCCAACTGTCAATCATTCTGGTGATTTGTGCTCGTCCAATAAGACCAGAGAGATTTGTTCAAAAAGTGGAGAGGGCGGTTCTTTCCTCAGAAAATTGGGAAATCGTTCTTCATTACTTTAAGAAGAATTGTAAAACATAACAATAGTAACTTCTAATCACTTGACGGCTTAACTTTTCTTATGGAATTAAATGTTATGGTTGTTTTCTTGAATAACATGTCATTGTTGCCGAAAACCATAAATGCTGCTTTTTAATATAATAATTTAAAATCGTTTCAGGGGCCACTGGAAATGGTCTCGCGGGCCGGATCTGGCCCCCGGGCCTTGACTTTGACACCTGTGCTCTAAGATGAGGACTTTTTTTGGTCGCACGATTTGGGGAATTTCAGTGTTGTATCAGCGGTTCCAGACCAGGAGGAAGGATGACTCTATTCTCAAATAACATAACATCTCTAAAGTTAGCATCAAATCTTGACACTTGTTTCAGTGTTCCCCAACTTTTCTAGCCTGACTCTGGCCAGACCCATGTAGTTCGCTGCACTTCACACATGAGTCTGGTACTGAGCCATAGTGGTGAGATTTCAGAAGGCAGGGCCTTGTAAAAAAATCCTTGTATGTGATTGGATAGACCACTTGTCCGTTATCTTGAATGAAGTCTGCTTTCAACCACTCACATCGAAGCACACGGCTCCCATAGGTTGCCAAATCCCAGCAAGATTTTCCAACCCAAAATCCACGAGAATACCCCAAAAAAAAAAAAACACTCTGATTTTTTGGCTAAAAACGTAATATAATCAACTTGGGCTATCATGACTCTGTTTATTGTCTTTCTGTTTATTTAATACCTACAAGTCTCTTGGAAAAAAATATGCGGGAACCACCAAACCTGGCAACCCTGCTGCATAGTGTGTAAACAGGAACACTGAACCAGTGCTTCAACCAAACTTTACAGGAACATTTGACTCTTAAAACACACATATATCAACATAGAACCATCTACATCTCGCCTCTAATTTCATTAAAAGTGACATCCGTGTCTTAATTCGATCGTATTTACTCTTTTAAAAAGCACACGTCAGACTAAAGCACGGTTTAATGGTTGGTTGTGTCCTTGGCGTGCTCAGACCTGCAGAGGAAGGAGGTTGATGGCGATGGGAATTCAGTCGTTACCGAACAGGAGATAAAGGCAGAGATTATAGAGCGATAAAAACCTTTTTAAGAAAATACTTTTAGTAAGTAAGTAAGTAAGTAATTTTTATTTATATACCGCCTCTCACAGACCAGAGTCACAAAGCGGTTTACAATTGTTATTTTTTGGGGTCCTCTCACTCCACACAGAGATGGGAGCGGGGTCGCCGAACAGGAGGCACATGCCAGACCGTACATATTTTTAGTGGTAGGGGAAACCGTAGTACTCGGAGGAAACCTACGCAGACACGGGGAGAACATGCAAACTCCACTCAGCTGTTAACATTTATCTATGGTTAAAATACCTTTTGAACAAACACGTTTTAAAGGTAATCTCTCGGTCTCTCTCTGGTCTCTCTCTTACCTCTCTCTGGTCTCTCTCATGTCTCTCTCATGTCTCTCTGGTCTCTCTCTTACCTCTCTCTGATCTCTCTCATGTCTCTCTGGTCTCTCTCCTCCCTCTCTCTGGTCTCTCTCTCTCTGGTCTCTCTCTTACCTCTCTCTGATCTCTCTCATGTCTCTCTGGTCTCTCTCCTCCCTCTCTCTGGTCTCTCTCTCTCTGGTCTCTCTCTTACCTCTCTCTGATCTCTCTCATGTCTCTCTGGTCTCTCTCCTCCCTCTCTCTGGTCTCTCTCTCTCTGGTCTCTCTCTTACCTCTCTCTGATCTCTCTCATGTCTCTCTGGTCTCTCTCTTACCTCTCTCTGGTCTCTCTCATGTCTCTCTGGTCTCTCTCTTACCTCTCTCTGGTCTCTCTCTTACCTCTCTCTGATCTCTCTCATGTCTCTCTGGTCTCTCTCCTCCCTCTCTCTGGTCTCTCTCTCTCTGGTCCCTCTCTTACCTCTCTCTGATCTCTC